GAATGTGAACGTCTTTAAGGAGCGAAATGAGTGTATTGACTTCCTTAGTGATGTTCAAGACATCAAGTCTTTTCTCGTACTAGAGAATACTACAGCACAACAAATCATGCCCCTCATCAGTAATATTCCTCAGCTGGATAGCGTTTATGTCTTCAGCAACATTAAATCCTTACATGAAGAGCTGACAACAAAATGCCAAAAAATCAAGAGCGTTCATACTAACATCGATGACTTATGCCACGGATTACAATTGGGTATTAAACAATACAATCAAGACTCGATAGCCATAAGTCTTATCACAGCAACTGAAATGGCTTCAACTGATAATTTAAATCGGTTGGACCCGACTTTTATGTACACTCAGCTATTCAAAGAAATTCTCCTTAATATGAAACATACTAGTCAGAACATCAAGGACTTTACTACTTACTGTCGGCAGAATAATTCCGGGTCGCCAAAAAATATTGATAAATTTGAAAAAGAATACCAAGCTCAATCAGCTATTTGGTGGTATACGTGCCCGTCATTTATCTATTCTATGCTCAACGATGGTCTTCGAATAATGGACGCCGATATCATTATTACTATGGGTTTTTTTCTACGTGATGTGCATGAACAGATTCAACAGTTATACGACCATCAAGTCAGTCTTTGTGAAAGGAAATTCTTTGTAGTTTATCGAGGACAAGGTCTTTTGAAATCGAATTTCGAAAAACTTCAGAAAACACAAGGCGGCTTAATATCATTTAACAATTTCTTGTCCACCAGCAAAGATAAAGGAGTATCGATCGGTTATGCTCGCATCGCTTCAACAGAACCAGACAAGGTGGGTATTCTTTTTATAATCTCGATTGATCCGTGTATTAAATCAACACCATTTGCCTGCATTACTGCACATAGTTATTACAAGGCACAAGAAGAAGAAGTTCTCTTCTCAATGCACACCGTCTTTCGAGTGGGTACCATTAAACAAATGAATACTAATAATCAACTTTACCAAGTTGAATTACAACTAACATCGGATGATGATCAACAATTACGATTACTAACTGATCGGATACGAGTAGAAGCTGGTGGTGATACGGGTTGGAAACGATTGGGCAGCTTATTGCTTAAAATTGGTCAATTTAATAAAGCTGAAGAACTTTATAACGTATTACTTCAACAGACATCTGATGAGAGTGAAAAAGCGTTTTATTATAATCAATTGGGATTAGTGCATTCAAGTAAAGGCGATTATGAAAAGGCTATTTGGCATTTCGAGCAGGGACTTGAATTTGATCAAAAAATTCTTCCATCAAATCATCCTGATTTGGCTACTTCATACAACAACATCGGTTTGGTGCTTAAAAAGATGGG